AGTTTGAGAATTCATAAACATAATTCTGAGCTTGTGAGACAGTTTTCCTTCAGCTAATCATCACAGAAAGCACCTTTCCAGTGCAAGTTTGATCCCCTGCCTGATCCTTCCCAGAGACAGCCCTTAAGCTCATATTCACCGTTGCTCATGTATTAAATTTTATAATGCAAATATAAGAATCTAGAGAGAGACAGAAGAGTAGATGGCATGTAAAGGAATCAGCTCTGAACAAATTTCTCTAGGGAATTTTTCCGGATCAGTCACTTGCAGTTTGCCTGTGGTTAGTGTTGTGAATAGGATTAGAAGAGCAGGCTAGCGATTATGCGGGTAACAGCCTAGCTGGCAGAGAGACAAATTAATCACAGAAAAGCATAGAAAATGCAGCACACACTGGGCTGGATAGGCTCATGTTTGAACAGCTGCTCTGCATAAGGAATTACTAGGATGCTCTTTGAATAAAAAAATTACCTTTCTTTTTCTTGGTACTATTCTGATTTTAAAAATTTCATTTTACCACTTGAATTTTTTTGATTAAAAAAAATCTGTATCTGGCACTAAAGAAGTTATTAACATACACACACAGGTCAAGCAATACTTCCATGGGGACAACAGCAAACAAATCAGCTGGAAAATATCATAAGGTCTAGAGTATCTAACGTATATTCGTGATGTAAAATTCAAAGTTTGAATACGAGCATGGTCAGCAGCTTAGAGAAGTCCATCTCCAATTATTCTGCTGACAAACATAAATTAACAAGGAGGTCTGTGCAGTTACTCAGCATTTATGAATCAACACCACAAAATGCTAAATACCTCTTGTATGATGATATGTAAATATAAATCTAGTATGAATGCTTATGCTGCACCACTTTGGAGTGAGAACTGGGATGGAAAAAAGTAGTTCAGGATTTTTCTGAGTTCTAGAATATACGTTAATATGATTTTATAGTGCTTATGCTATTGGTGAATGGGAAATGATACAGATGACATCTACAAGAAGGAGGAATAAAAAGAAAAATATGTTGCACATACTTTTGTACTATGTACAGTTAGTCTTATCTATAAAAAGGCTGTTATTAATCCCTCTGAAATAATTCGTACCAAAATATGACTTCCTTAGAATAGCAATAACAAAACATGCTGTTAGCCAATGGGTGGACTATCAGTTTTTAAAATCAAATAATTGTTATCCTTTAAAAACAATTCTGTATACATACTTTAAAAAATATTTAAGCTTCATACACTAGCAGCACCTTTCCATTTTGCACTTAGTGAGGAATTTGAGAGCTAGCTGTCACACTACTTCTGTTGTGTCAGATCTACGAGTACTATAATCTTGGTGGAGATTTTCAAGACCAATGATCCCCAGAAACCTGACCAACAGTGAAAGTCTGTGAATTTTACTTTTAAATCCTTTATTTATTTCTTAACAAGTTCCCTTTTTTAAGTTTACTTTTCACATAATATCAGACTTAATAAAAGATACTGAATAGGTTTTGAATGGGTCAGTGTTTAAAACCTGTTTAATAAAATGAGCTGAGACAAAAGCTCTTGCATGGGTAGTTTGTCCAAAAGTTGGACGTGAATGGGAAAATATGCTTCATGTAAGTCTCTGCTAACTATATCGATCTTTCCCTCAGCCTGAATATGGAAGCAGGCAGCAATCTGCACGAACAGTTTCTGAAACGTAAGACACAAGAAAATTTTTGAAGGGGTCAAAAAATGAAAAGGCAGGTATCAAACAAAAACAAACAAACAAATAAAAAAGCCCAACCCCACAGTGTATCTTACAAGGTATTAAAAAATAAAGTCCCTCTCATTTACCTTAAATTTTCTGAACTGAATTCTGACTCCAGGAATTTGAGAAACTGCTCTCTTCCCACGGGGTCTTTCAAAGCTTCATCCATGCCAAATCCCCATCTTTTCACCCTCTGCTGTCCCGGCTCTTTGCTATAGAATAAAAACCAATAGAACCCACAATCAGCAATACTGCGGTATTTAGACTAAGTCCTAATGTTCAGCTTTCTCACCTTCCAGATTGATCACATCTTTGCAGTGTTCAGAGATGAGCAATCAGGCTGTTAGTATTCACACAGGATGAAGGTAATACACATGCATTGACACAGAAGAATAAGAGCTTCCAACTAGGAAATGTTGTCAGATTATACAAGGTGTCTTTTTCCCCCACACTGGAACCCTGAAAACTGGTTAGTGTAATTTTACACAGATTTATTAATAGCTAGCTCTTTCCATTTTATGAAACTGTAAAGATGGAAAGACCAAAAGGATACTGAATTGCCCTTCTGCCTCAGTATTTTCCTGCAATACCTTTGTCTGAAATCTTTACATTTCAAGAAAAGCCTGTTATACGCTCTTGCCTCAAAAGAAGAAATAAAATCACATACCTTGCCTCCAGTTCCCAGAAAGTGGTGTCATCTGATATCCAAGGGTTTGAGGGATCAGGGGGCACAAGAAAAGGATCATATTCCAAATACTGCTCTGTATAAGCTAATAGACTAGGAAAACAAAAGCATCATTGTCATGTCAGGAGATGAGGAAACCTGATCAGGTCACCCCAGCTAACCAAGTTGCCTTGCATCAACTGAACCATGGTAACTAGGTGTGCACACACTCAGAAGTCAGTTACAAGCTCAGGCTAAAATCGGTTTGCTCAAGCCTCTTAAAAGTGGACCCCTGAAGAAGGAAGAGTGGCTAAGGTCTTATCAAGAGCTGAAATAAAATAAACTATAAACTTCCCTAATACTTCCACATAGATCCTTTTAGGGCTTCTTTAGGCACTGATAAATTAAATTAAGCAACCTCTTCCATGCACTTTTGCTTTCATAAAGGAACATGTTTTATACCCCTATGGTTTTAATTATCCATTCCTTTAAAATCTGTTCTAAAACTGTGCATACTATTCAGGTCATATTTATTGGCCCTGCAGCTGCTAGGACTCCTTTTTTACTCTCTTAAATACAGTTAATATTTTTATTATTTCCTAATCAAATGGCACTACTCCCAAGTTTATAGCTTTCCAAAAAAATCCTAACATTTTTTCCAAATTCTTCAGTGTTCATGAATTGGTCTGGCTTAGTTAAACACATTAAAAACTTTGCTTGTATTCTGGTAATTTACATATCCTATGTCCTTATTCCTGCTTTCCTTTTCCTTTGGCTTCATAATTATTGAAAAATTTTTGACCAGTGAGGACAAATATCCTTTCTTTTCATTCTTATTTATATTTAGTCTGTATTGTATTTTTACTGTTCAGCAAACACAAGTTCTTAACCTGTTCTCTTTATAAATACATATTTATATGTATTTGTATGTGTATGCATACATACATGTATATAAGTAGACACACATGCACAAATGTGTATAAGAGGATCAAGAACCATTTGTATTTGGCTTAGTTTCCTTTACTAAGTCTTATGCAGCTCAATTTTCTGGAATTTTCACTATCTCTGTATCTGATGTGAAAGACAGAACATTCCTTTTCTCCACCTCTTTCTCTGTCTAAGCTGTAGCTAGTCTTCCCAAGAGGCTTTTTGTTTTATTTGTTTTCTAGCCCCTTCCTGACAGATTTTGGTCTTATTTATTTCTTATATATTAGAAAAATTCCTATTAGTTTTACATCTTCTGACCTGAAGTAAACTCAGACTCTCTTTGTTCAAGCATTGAGCTCCTCACCCAGCCAGCTCTGCTGATCACTTGCCTTATCAGTGATTGCCCTTTTGAAATATCAAAACAGTAACCACAGACCTATTTCCATTTAGCCCACCTGCCAATGCAAGGTGAAACTTGTGACCACTTGGTCAGAGGCTCTTTCATTGACTCTTTGGTTTATCAGAAATGTATCATGGAATATCTGGGCCATCTTTTATCAATAAAAGAACTTCATACCTCCCACTTAAAGTAAACTCTCATTAGTTATTTCTACGACACCTGAGCTCCCTTGTCTCTCTTTCTTTGAAGTTATTTCATGCTGACATTTTCCCAATAGTTATCAGTCTAATTGAAAAAGCAGAAGATGTGACAATATGCTTACCTCTCTGCAACTTTTGACATTTTTAATCTGTGTCTGTCTAATTGCATTTGCCAGTGCTTAATCTGCAAGAAAGGAAGGCGAAGAGTTTTATGAGTAATTCATTGCTTGACTCTATTTCTATAACTTTTTCATTAGAGCTGTAATTTAACCTTAATTTATCCTAGGGCACAGAACAGAAATATGTATGAGTTAAAACAACTTTTCACCACTGTAGTTCTAAAATAAATGGAATTTCTCATAAAAGAGGAAAGATCATACAGACACAAAAAAAGGACCTGATATAACATTTTCCCTATTACAGGTTCATCAACAGAAATCCAATTAGCCTTTTTTTAGATTTTTGTAGAGAACTACTGATTCTTTGGACATTTCCCTTCTCCCAGTTTTAACACTTCAGGAAAGATTAATGAAGCATTCACAGTAGATAAATGTGTGAACCCATATGTCCATACACAGAGAGGTAAGTATACCCACAAATCCCGAATCAGTGCTGAAAGGAAGGGCAAGCTGTCTGCTGCTAAAGGAGCTAAGGGGCTTAGCTATGCAAAGAACCCACTAACTGGCCGGCTGCTAATTGCCTTTAATTGTTTAATGCAAGATACAAAAAATATCAGGTTTTGTCTCATTAGTTTCAATAGAAGTTACATACCTAAATCCATATACCTTGAAACAAGGAAAAGGTTTACTAAACATTTGCTAGATCTGTTCTGAACAACTTCCCAGTTACGATAATTTTTGATTAAATACCTACTTTCCTAAGAATTTAATTTAAAACTACATGTTTGTAGTCATTTTTCAAACCTCTTGGTGTAGTTCATCTTCTGTGGGTGGCTTTGTCTCTGGTACTGGTGTATGGGTAGGGCTGTGACTTCGAATGTCGTTTTGTAAGCCATAGACAGACTACGTAAAAAATATGGAACAGTGACAGTTGCTTTCAGACAATGTTTTATACACATACCCAGAATAACTGTGATGTTTTAGTACAGCATACTCAAGAAGTAAGACAAGATCATCTTTTTCTAAAGAAACCACAAATAAGCCATGCACTTAGATAGAACTGTGCTTCTGCACCATGGTGTAAAATAAAGACTCACAAACCCCACAATTTCATAATGTCATAGAACACAGGATCTAATTGTATTATGTCTCTGTATTAACAGCATGGTAAAAAGAGGCGATGACACTGAAAGGCAGCTATTATAGTAAGTGGAGAGGACTGGTAGGAAAACAAGAGTCAGCATCCTGAAAGGTAGACTATCACACTGAGTTATTTGGATGACTCCCAGATTTGCAATTACTGCTTGGTAAATTACACTAATCTGGACCTTTCATTGCCGTAAATAACCTAAGCTAAAACTTTCAGTAAATCCGCTTTCCTTTTTAAAACATATTTTTCCATGGGTGACACAAAAATATATCTCAAAGTGCTCCAAAGTTGGAGTCAATCTACATTATTATGGTACAAGGGATTTGAAAGAAAGTGTTGTTCCAATTCATCTATACATCCCTAAAGAACTTGCACTGTTCATGTCTGGATCCTAGTTTAGATGAAGTTAATTACCTCCACAATTTCTGGTCATCCATTTGGGGCATGGAGACAACCTTTTCATTAAGACCAGCACAAGAAGAACTGCTGTTATAGTTTACACTACATTTTAAATTTATTTCTCCTTAAGTACTGACAGAAACTTTTTAACATGCTTTATTCAAACTACTAAACAACATGAATAAAGGACGCAAAAATGAATTTTGTTTTCATATGCTCTGTGTATTTCTCCAAAGCCTTTCTTACGTGATAGCATTTACATAGTATTAGCAATGTTTTTAATACTAATTCATTTAAGAGCTTATGAAATAATAACATACATTCATGTATTTGTTCTTTGCAGCTGTAAGAAGAAATTATTTTAAGAAACTATGGAACTTCATGCTATAAATTACCTCCACCTCCTGCTTTTGATATAACAGTACTTACCTTTCTTGTTTTATGTGGATTTCTCATTCTCGAAGACTTTTTTATATCCACTTCAGTAGTGTTTACACATCCAGGCTATTAAAAGAAAAGAAAGAAAAGGACAAGGATAAAATCTGTGGAGGAACTCCATATTATTTTCATTGAGATACTCCTCTTCAGTTTGTAGGGCTAAGAACATAAATAACCAGAGGCACATAATAGCTTTATGTCCTTCTGAAATAGTCCCTAAAACCTAAATAATATATACTCTAAGGAAGCATCTCAAGTACCATTTTGTCTGGACTATGGTAAGAGAGACTCTTTTGCTATTCAGCCTTGCTTGCTGGACCTTATGATGGTTTTTAGGGCAAGTTTTACTGTATGTCTGTATGCTGAAAGTACTGAAAGCAAGGTACAGAGGAGCAGAAAATATCCAAATGCATATTATAAGACACACTTGCAGCACAGACAGGTATTAATTCAAATTCAACTGCTATTGGCAGTATTTGGGAATGTTGGAGTGAGACAGTGAAGACCACACGCTTAGAGCTCATGACGTCATGAATTTGAAATAAAATAAATTCTCAAGATAACAGAAACAAATCATATATTTCTGCTTTTTTTTTTTTTTTTTTTTGTCAAGGAAGCCATACAATGTGCATTCTAGCTATCCCTCTAAGAAGCATGGTTGACCTAAAGAGACAGAATAAATAGAATTGTGCAATACCCACCTCAGCTGTGAATCCCAGGCTGCCTTCAGGAGCATTTGGTTTTGGGTCACTTATTTAGTGACGATCTTTTTTTTTAAGAAAAAAATTTTTAAAATGTGCCAAAATGGAATTTGTTTTCTCAGAAAAGAAAACAAAACAAGCTTCAGCAGCCTAACCAGAAGGCTGGTAGTCTAAACAGAATGATTGTCAATGTAACTGATTTGGCCTTCAAAGACTCATTCTCACAACTTTGTAGCATCCCAAAGGACACAAGTCCTCTAGTTTCTCCTAATTCATCTTCCTTTGTCACTTCCCTCTAAGTACAAACTCTATGCAAAAATCTGTTCTTTATCCATTGCTGGAAACAACTCATAATAAGTGTTATGCTCTCAGGTGAGTTTCATCTATTGATTTTAAAGGGATTATATCTGCCACTGAGAGTGGGAAGTACAAAATCTGCTCACTAGCAGGAGCAGATTTTTAGTGAAAGTAGGTTGTTGGGGTTTTTTTAATGGAAGTAGCTAGATGTAGAATTTACGTGTCAAACAACCAAGCTGGACTTATTCACACACTAATGATGCAAGCTTTGTGTTCTTATCATAATGTAAAATGCTTGATGTGGCTGTAAATCCTCACAGACAAAAATTTTAAACATTCCTTATATAGGCAGAGCCAAGAAACAAATCCATTTCACTAAACAGGTCGACAGCACTTTGTCTCTGGAAAATACTTTAAATAACAGACTGATTTTATTTTAAAGTAATACATTAATATGTCTTTGACCATGTTATATTTGCAGCATAAACAGTTCCTTATCACTGAGAATAAAAATAGGCACTTAGATAATATTCGCAAGACTACATCTGACATACCTATTGAGATAGATTTGGGAGGGTACACTTTGTGCTTGTGAACAAAAATGGTAGTTTCTTAACTCAGAATACCTTGTAACTCTCAAAGACAATGAGATGTTGAAAAAATACAAAATTCTGCATGATCATAGAATCATAGAACAGTTTCGGTTAGAAGATCACCAAGTCCAATGATGGTCAATTTAAAGGCAGAGAGCAATTTCACAGGGCAGGATACTGAGATATAAAGTTAAAAAGGAAACAATATGTCTACTTTAGGATTATGGCAGCAGCTGTCAGTGAAGAAGACATGGGCTTTTAACAGTATCTACAGCCCTTGAATGCAATCATTGGAATAGCAGGCACACTTACATAAGGCACAAACTGTTGTTTAGTTTTCAGTTATGGTTTGTTAAAAGCATGTCCTAAAAATGGAGAGGGGAGAAAAAAAAGGGGGGAAAAAAAAAAAAAAGGCATAAACCTTATCCAAAGACTCTTATTTTTGAAGATTTCAAGTCCAGCAGCAGTAAATTGGTATGAACAGATCTAGCACCTTGCCCAGGTGACTTACATGCCAGAGCTGTGCAGATTGATGCAAGGGACCCCATAAGAAATTCTGGGAGATTTTTAGGAATGAAACAAGGGCAAAACTTTTGATGGTTGGAAAGAGACCCAATACAGTACTGACCTTCTACAGCATCTAGTGGATTCTTACTGACACCTGGCTGTTTAAAACCTCTCATGCTGAAGTAAAACTGCTGTGGCATACTTCAGTAGTGGAACACACAAGAGGCTGTGAGGGCAGAAACTGGACTATGGTGTGACTAAAGGGAAGCCAATGGGAGAGCAGAGGCAGGAAGGTACAGGCAGGGAAGTGTCTCAAAGCTTCAGTGCAAAAGTTGAGGCAGCTAAAGGGTATATCACTACTCTGACAATCTGGGGTAACAATAGGAGTTGAAGATATATGTCACTACCACTATACAATACCATTCTTACAATTTGATTTAAATTATAGTACTGGAATTACCTAATATAATTGGGGCCACAATTCATATTTTCTTCTCAACTCAAAATATTTATTAAAATGATACTTGATATGAGATGGGATTTATTGTTTCTCTGGTGCTGCCACACCACATCCATCAATTTTTAGGAATAAATATCAAACATTTTTTCAATTGAAACAGACACAAAAGCTTGCATTATTTGAACATTTTGCTAAAATAACAGAGTCTTTGTGGGAAAACCTTTGCTGGACAACATTTCATTTTATTCATATGCCCCCATTAACATCATAAATATGTGTTTGCATACAATTACATCCAGCTGTGTTTTCTTTTTGTGTTGCTTTTTTAACTGGACTACCATAGTTCAAATAGTGAGATGTCAGTCAGAGTGCTCTGCTGCAAGATTCCCATTTAGTATGTAGTATATAATTTGCATACTAATACTGTAAATAGTTTTCAAACAGATTTCCTGGAAGTCTTGAAACCTCTTCTGTATGTGTAAATAGAATGCTTATTTCTTTCAGGACTAATATTCTTTATAAAAACAGTTCCCCCTCCATACACACAGAGGAAAGTCTTGTGACCTTGTTGAAATTATTACACAGCAAGATCATAACCAGGGTACAACTTGGACTTCATCTGTTTTTAAATAGCTGTCTGAAAAACTGTCATCTATTCAAAACTTAGTTTCTTTTCATCCATCTGTTAGCACACTCTTATCTCAAAGTACAAATGCCATTGTATTAATTTACAGCAAAGGACATGTCAGTCCAGTCATGATAAATTCACTGCTGAGATAAATGCATGCAGATAAAGAATAGAAAAAAAAACACATATAGAAGATTTTTTAATCTCTACTTCAATTATTGGATAATCACATTAGTATGAATTCCAAGCAGCACAACTTTTTATTGATGCTGTCTAGGAGGCTGCATAATAGGATTCTGCTAAGAAACACAGTGGAAGGAGGAAGCCTCTTCTGCAAGGAGAGGAGGTCTAAGAACTCCAGGTCCAAAACTTATGTGCTTGGATCTGGCTACAGCCAAATTCTGAAAACAACAACCACCCTCAGGTGTTTAACTCAGTATGCTGAGTTAAAAAAAAAAAAAACAAACCACTTGATATTCATAATCTTTCCCTGATAACTGTGGCAACAGTGAATAAATTAATTAAGCCCTTGTAGTAGTGCTAACAGTGAATTAATTTTTTGACACCTATAGCAACTCTTTGGAAGAATTAGTTTTTTACTTCAAATGAGATGCTTTAGCCATGGTACATTTCCATCCAAATAGTGCAGAATACCTAATGTTTATAGCCTCTTTGCTGTACAAAGTTGCACACTCCAAGGTCCTTTTTTATTGCCTGGCCTTATAGTCAAAATCAATGGCTATCAACACCTTTTTGTGTAAAAATCTCTTTGCTGTGGTGTACTTGTAATTCTAATAAGTTTGAAATCTTCAACTGAAAGGAAAATAATGTTCATAATTACATCAGTTTAAGTTTTTATGATTTTTTTATTTCTTAAGGGATACAGCAATTTAACCGTGAATCTACTGAAGCCAGAATACCCAGAAGTTTTCTTGTATCTGAGACAAACACACCCATGTATGTGGGAGGGAGCAAGCTCATGCATTGCAATAGGCTGGGAACAGTGTGTCTGTATTGCTCCTCTGTAGAAAATGATCTGAGGGAGAAGCTGAACAGGAGTCAGCAGTATGTCCTTGCAGCAATGCAGACAAACCACACACCCAGTTACATTAGCAACAGCACAGCCAGCAGGCAAAGGAAGTGGTTATTTCACTCTATTCCGCATCATGAGGATACATCTGGAATACCAGAACTGGTTTTGGGCCCTACAAATAACACAAGACATATACTCGAAACAGAGAAGTCCAGTGGAGGAACAGACTTTTCTGCTTGCAAAAAGAGGAGAGCTAACTGCTGTCTTCTGCTGCCTAAAGGGGGTTTGCAGGGCTAGACCTGTTCCAGAGGTGCACCATGAAAGGGCAGGAGGCAATAGTCAGAAATTGCAGTAAAGGAAATTCCGGTTAGCTATAAAGAAACATTCTTCATAATAAAAAGTAGAAGTTGCTTAAGAGAGGCTGTGGAATCTCCATCCTTGGTGATTTTCAGAGCTTGTTTAACCAAGGGCCTGGACAAGCTTATTCAACTCAGAAGTTAGCACTGCTTTGAGCAGGAGGTTGGACTAAAAGACCTCCAGAGGTCCCTCTCAGCCTACATTTCTGTGGTACAGCCTATGATCTTCACAAGCTGCAGTGATTGAAATTCAAATAATCCACCTTACAAAGCACTCCAATCAAGTATTCACAGCAGTGTGAAATTCATCACCTGCCTTCCCCTCCCCACAACAGCAGAACGGAAAGACAAGACTGGTATTTGCTTCCTTACTGCTGCCTCTGCCCGCTGGTAGCCTGTGGTGTGTGCTCAACCCACACAAACAAACCTAGTGATGATTTAAGGAGAGGTAATTTCACAGCCTCTTTAGCTAAAAATACATAGGTGCTATT